GAAAACTCCTAGTAATGATACATAAGGAGCCTGATCATGGGACACTGACCCAAGCACAAAGCCTTCACCCTACACATTGTCCTGCCTGCAAAATGATCACAGGTAATGGTAGTACAGAAATTTCAGGTACAACTTTTGGATGTACCAATGAGTGGTACAACTTGAGACTCCTGCCTTGTGAGGGAGCCCAAGTCTGACACTGCCTAGAGAGTCAGTAAAAAGAGGTTGGATAACCCAGAGACAAAGGATAAAATCAAACAAGACTTGCATAAATAAATAAAATAACTGTTAAGAGAGGCTTTTTCCTTGAGTGAGGATGCCTTCCCGCCAGCCTGGTTCTAGAGCCGCATCAGGCCCAAATAAACACGCAGGAGGCTATATTCATTATGAAGCTGTTGGCCTTGCTTGTTTCTTACTGGCTAGCTCTGACGTAAGTAATTACCCCATAATTGTTAATCTAAGTATGTTTCTTACCGGAGAAGTTCTGGGCTTCCTACCCCCATGGCATTACATGTTGACTCTCCTGTGTTTCTCCTTCCCAGAGTCTTTCTGGACTCCTAGTCCCTCCTATCTTGGTTCTCTATTGGCTCAACAGTACTTTATTGACAAATAACAGCACTTCCCCCAACATCTCTTTTCTGTTTAAACAAAAAGGAAAGTCTTAACTTTAACATAGTCAAATTGTATATAACAGAACAGTTATCAAGTAAGAACATAGTTACAGTATTTTAGCAAGATTTAAAGAAAATATCACCCATCCCATCCTTGTGAGTCCAAAGTCCTATATGTAGCTTATCTTTTATCATAACTAAGGAAAACTATAATTATAACTATCTGTCTTCAACTCCATCAAAGACCACAGAAGGATAATATATAAACACTAGAAATGACAGAGACATCTTGCTACCTGGACAGTCACCCAAAGTACCTCTGTAACGTTGGGGCATCCATCTTCAGCCCATAAGCCACAACGTATCCAGAAGATTTCTCAGCAGAGCAGGAAATTTCAAACTGTCCATCTGCATTGGCAGTCTGTCAGTCATTTTTCTGTGTCCTGCAGAAAGTCTGGTAGACTCTTTCATGAAGCAGGAACCCTGAAGGACTATTTGAGTTAAGCAGTCACTTCCCTGTGGGTCCTGCATACCCAGATTATACAACAACAGTCAAGTAGTACAGTCAAGAGCAGTTTCTTGCCCAAATGGCTAATCTTACCATGTTGAAAGCAAACTCCATAACAAGTTTCTTCGATGCCCATCTTCCTCTAAGACGTAATTGGTGCTGCCAGGAGCAGACATTTCTCATTGTCAAGAAAAACCCAAAACCATTTTAAATGCCATTTTCTGAAGGTCTTTGAGAGGTTTGAAGACTGTTTATCTATCTCAAATGTATTTCTGTATATCTAAAAAACCTAACTCACCTAACTATAAATTCTGACTATTATAAGTAACTATCTATAATCTGTATTCAATTATGCATTACGTTGTAAAAGATCAGTATAAGCACAATACTTAATCAAGAAGAGAAATATACACATCACAAAATTGACCTTGAATTTGTCTCAATAAACGAAAAACCATACCCATACCATAATTCCCCTTTTTACCATTAGAAAGAGATTGATTGTGATCATTAACCAATTATAAACAATCCCATTTAAATGAAAACAAAGATTTATAAACAAGATGGGAATTAGGACGTTGCTCATTCCAAACTGCTTCATACTGGAAGGGGGCGCTGTTCATACCATGGGGATCATGACAAAACTCAGAAACCTGTATAAGTCCTTACTTTTAGGGTCTGTAAAGCTCCATCATCTTAGCTGTTTCAATTGTTGGTACACCTGGTCCACTGCTTCCAGGGGTCTTGGTCCGTCAAACCACAGAAGCCTGGAAGGAATCCTCAGCTTTTCATTTTCTGTAGAAACATAAGCAAAATCTCCTTTCCCAAGTAACATATCCTTGTACTTAAATTTTGAAGTCAAGGCATTTTTAAAAGATAGAAGTTGGATTAATTCCTTTTACTTAAATTTTGAAGTCAAGGCATTTTTAAAAGATAGAAGTTGGATTAATTCAGCAGCATTTATAATCAAGTGTACTTTAGTAGCTGTTCCTTCCTGAGCAATCAAAAAACTGAAAAACATAATAACATATCCAGACTCTCTGTGTATTTTCCATCTTTACGTGGCTTATTTATTTATCTATTATTACTTTGTTTCTTTTACTTTTATTTATTTTTCTCTGAGACAGGGTTTCTGTTTGGAAATCTGCTTGCCTCTGCCTCTGAAGCAAATCCTACCAGCGTGTGCCACAACAGCTGGCTTCTCTACTTATGTAACACTTTGCCATTTCATATTGTCTCTCAATCTTACGTATATTTTTAAACACACTGTAAACCTTTAGAGGTTTTGTTCATCCAAGTCTGACTTGTAAATCATTACGTTTTTCTGGCCACATGTCTTATCTGTAAAACCGCGGCTGTTTTAAACTGATGTTTTTTTTCAAGATGGCAGGCGTAAGTGTGACTCCAGCTTACTGTCTCAGTCTGACATCCAGCAAAAGCTGCCAGCTCAGAGATGTGGTCACTGCCACTTCCAGCTGTACGTATAACTTTTCAATTGTTAGCAGAGTCTCTTAAAAGAACCTTGCTAGTTTTTTTTTCTTTTTATGCAGAGTCAGGAAGACTCCGGTAAGCTAGCTGCGTAAATCTCAGCTTGTCGCTAGCAAAACAGAGCCCACCTGAGAAAAATGCTGCTACCAAAAATCTGTGCTTCTCTCCGTTCTTCTGTTTCTAAAATTCCTTTAAAGCTTTTGTCATTATACGTGGAAATTCAATCCCGCTCTGACACCATTCTGTTAAGAGAGGCTTTTTCCTTGAGTGAGGATGCCTTCCCGCCAGCCTGGTTCTAGAGCCGCATCAGGCCCAAATAAACACACAGGAGGCTATATTCATTATGAAGCTGTTGGCCTTGCTTGTTTCTTACTGGCTAGCTCTGACGTAAGTAATTACCCCATAATTGTTAATCTAAGTATGTTTCTTACCGGAGAAGTTCTGGGCTTCCTACCCCCATGGCGTTACATGTCGACTCTACTGTGTTTCTCCTTCCCAGAGTCCTTCGGGACTCCTAGTCCCTCCTATCTTTGTTCCCTATTGGCTCAACAGGACTTTATTGACAAATAACAGGACTTCCCCCAACAAATAACAAGCAAATGAATAGAATACAATTAAAATTTTAAAAAGTGTGTGAAATGATTCCTAAGAATAATCTGCTTCACTTATATACTGGTGCCTAGACCAGTTGTTATCACAGAGACTCTATCCAGTAACTAATGGGAGCAAATGCCTAGACCCACAGCCAAACATTTAGAGGAGTTCAGAGAATCCTGTGGAAGAGGAGAGGAAGGACTGTCAGAGGGTTCAATGACACAAGAAAATAGCCTACAAAATCACATAAGCAGGGTTCACGGGGGTTTATAGCAACTGAACTGACAATTGGGGAGCCCGGTTGCATCTGCCATGTTTGGTTGCTATCCATTAAAGGCCTGTACTTTTCTGAAGAGAAATCAAGAAGGAGTGGATTTGGTAGAGATGGAAGATGTGGGGGCACTGGAAGGAGAGAAAGGTGGAGATATTGTGGTCAGGATTCTAAATATACATGTAGAATATATACGCATATGTGTGTGTGTCTATATTCTCAAAAGCATATGTATGTATTTATATTTATATAAATCTCAAAAAATAAATACCAGGAGGAAAGCAGTACCAAGGTAAGAAAAGAAAAAAAATATTAGAGCTAGAAGTTAGGAAAGAGTTCCTGATATGACACTGCAGTTGAACTCATGAACTCAACTACAGAACTGTTTAGTTGCACAAAATAGGGCTCATGAGTACCTACCTGTACCTTAGGAAAAGAGAGTCATATTTCTTCAGTGGTATAGCCACTAGACAGACAATTGCCTTTAGTCTTAGAAATAACCCACACCAATAGTCCTGCAAAGAGCCCTAATTAAATGCAGCAGCAGTAGTAGTAGTAGTAGACCATTCTGGTCTAAAATGCCTACATCTTCTTTTCTTAAAAATGAACTCAAAATATAGGCATTTTTATCTTATTCATTTGTTCTAACATTCCCAAACATAACTGTCACCATTAGAACATACACTTGAGTAAGCCAGATAAGCTCACTTCCTGTCTGACTGTCACAGAACTCTTGAATATCCATATAGCTCATGTGCATTCTCTGTAACTGTTAGGTGGTCAGTCAGACATTGGCAGGCTGAGATGTCATTTAGGATGGACTACACTGCTGTGATCAGCTTGGTACCCTCCCATGTCCCTGACAGCACTGATGTAAAGAATTAGTACACCCCTGCCCCTCCTTAGAATTGAAATGTGCTAAAGGAGGGAGGAAGCCCCACACACCTGCCTCCCCTTAGCTGTAGAACATCGTGACAGAGGGGACAGGTGAGGAGGCAAGGCTTTGTTGAAGCCCAATACAACAGGAAACTTCCTTCTGATAGAGTGTGGCTAGGTAAGAAGGGTTTCTCACTGAAGCTGGTGCTAACTAATTCTGGCTAATTTATCTAGCTAGCTTGCTCCTATCTCTGTCCCTGAGTGCTGGTATCAGAGATATCCACTGTGCTTGCAAAGCATTTATGTTTGTTCTGGAGGTGTGTACTCTAGTCCTAATTCTTGTATAGTTAGCACTTTATCCAGTGAGTCATTCCCCCGGCACCTGTCTAATTATCTGCTCTCTGATTCAAAGAGTATGACTTTCTTTTCTCATCTAACCCCCTCCTCCTCACAGCTACTAATAATATCTCCAGCTTGCATGCCCTTGTTACCTTTTCTCTCAGATCACAATAAAACTGGATTCTTAATCTCTTTATTTTAGATTAGTTACTTATAAACTGGACTCTGCACTCCTTAATGACACAACTAATTATATAAAGAGGAGTAACATGAAACACCTTCCAGAAGAAGAATTTGGAGGTTTGCCCTGGTTAAAGTAAATTCAGACTCTACCCTCCGATAAGGCACCCTGTCTGTACTGTAAATGACAGACTGCAGTCTTGCCTCCTCCAGGAAGGATCACACTCTGCCTGCATGTCTCTCCAGTGCAGAACCTGACCTCAAGGAGACAAGTAAGTGGAAAAGTAGGAGGGAAGAGGGGTGGACATATAAGTGTAAATAGAATAAACAGAATAGACGATGCAAAATAGGAATTTATAGAAAACTCAAGAGAGCCATTGGAGACACAGCGATTATGACATACTGACACCAGAAACATTATTTGGCAGTGAACCTAAAGTTCACATTGCAAGCTGTTCCACTGAAAACATGAAATGAAGCCAACTCTGAGAAAAACAGACTTCACTGCCCCATCTTTCAAGAATTAGTGTCATACTTATTGTGTAACCCTAGGATAAACAAGAAAACCTCTCACTGGGCAGTCTTCCTCTTCAAGCAGAGTTTCTTGTTTTCTCACAAGTTGGACCTAAGACCTTTTCCTCTTGAAGTTGCATTTTCTTTTCAGACAAACATTGCAATTTTCCAAGTGACAAGGCAAGCTGAAGTGAAGGGTGTGATACACATGCCTCTCTTTATACCTTAACACACCATAAAAGTTGGGGGAAATAACTTGAGATAGAAGGCAAAGCAATATTTCTACTCCTTCTGTCAAGGTTTGACAAAGCAGACACACAGTGGTTTCATTTGGAGGACAGGGAAGGTGAGGACTATCCCAATGACTTCTCAATTTCAGAAAGCTTGCAAACATTAATGAGACAAATTAAGTCCAAATTTCTGAATAGTCTTAAATTTTATATACTAGTAATAAGTCTAAAATTATGGGAGAATAACAGAAACCAAAAATACCTTGATTATTTTTATGAGCAAATAAATCAAAGACTGTAAATAAGGAGAGAGACCGTTTAAAATTTTATTGCAGACAATGGAATGGAACGTTTCCATCAGGAAAACTACATTGTAAGGTCTATAATATAAACATCTCAAAAGCCATGGAGAAAGAGATATTTTCTTATGTTTTTAATGTTTTGCTGTTATTGTGTGGTTTTTGCATGATGGGGAAAGCATACTTGCCAAACATACAAGTGGAAAACAGAGGACTCCTCTGTGGACTGTCTTCTCTATTTAACATTTATGTGGGTCCTAGGAATCAAATCAGGTTGTCAGGTTTATGTGGCAAATACTTTCTGAACCATATGGCTGGCCCAGAACAGGATCTTTCTTTTATGGGAAGATGAACATGACTAGGAAGAGGCTAATGTGAGCCAATCAATTAGAGGTTGCTTTCCCTTAAATGATCTAGGATAGAGAAAGAAGAGTTAGTTATAGTCTGTCTTTGGTAGAGGGTCAGATAGAGATCAGGAGCTGTGAAGCAGGAAAAACTTTCATTTAGTATTTGGTTTTTAACAAATCATAATGAGTAAATATTTACACTACTCTTTTCTGAGACAATGAACTGAATTTTAATGGGCTATGTCTGGCCTGACTTCAGTAAAAATGTAGTAGAACAGACACATGTCTCATCTAACTCTTGCATAATTCTTTGTCTAATCTTTTATATTTTTAATTCATTTAGGAAGGAAGGTCATTCTGTCTAGAATAAAACTTTACACTAAGAATCTTATCAAAGCTTTTAGGATGAAATCATGAGTGCAATAATTCCAAAAATCTTGGCTTGGCATCTAGTTAAATAAACATATACTGGTAAAAATGATACAGAGTATTTATTCTATTTAGCCGTTCTGGGATGAACACATACAGGGGAATCAGTGGTCCCTAAATCTATCATCAGCGTATTGGCATGGGAGATTTAGATTTAAAGAGAGAAATGTATGCCCAATTGAGCAGTCCTGGTTTGGTTGTGGTTCTATACATCATGAATCTATCAATGCCTCAGCAATTAGAAGGTGGTCACTCCTGCAAGGTGGTCCCATAATTGTTAAACTGTTCATCTATTCACTTGCCACAGAGAGCAGAGCCCAGCCCTAATGAAAAAAAATCTCATCTAAGAGATATATTATTCCTCTAACTTTTCCTCTTCTGGGAGTCAGTGTCCCTCAAGAGGAAATGTTAAGGACAGTAATTTATCTCTGTGTCTTTAGCCCTAATACAGACACACAATGAAGGCAGAGATGTCAGGCTTTAATCCTGCTTCAGAGACTGTAGGTGAAACTAATGAGTCTATGTCCTATTTCTACATCCACCAGCGCCACCAACTAGGACACAAGTGTTCAACACATGAGCCCATTAAGGACATTTCAGATTCAAGCACACAATAGGCACCTTGGCTACCTCCATCTTAGTTAGCAACTATAAATAAAGCTTCAATGACATCTGTATGCAGATGTTTCTGTGAACATAAGTTCTCAACTTCTTTGTGAAAATACCAAGGGATATGATTGCTTCATTCTATGATTAATGTTAAGTTTTGCAAAAACCCAAACAGTCTTCATAATTGATGTTCGCCTATTTGAATTCACATGACTTGGTCCACTCCCACTCAACAAAAACATTGAGTAATAGTTCATGATTGCTTTCACTTGCATTTCCAAAATGATATATCATGTAAAAATAAATGTTTCCTAAACCTATAAATAATCTGTAAATCTTCTTTGTGAGTAGCTTGCTAAAGTATTTGACCCAGTCTTTTATTGTGTTGTTCAATTTCATGCTATTGGTTTTTAAAGGTTGTGTTCTGATTGATAGTACTTTATTAGATATTTTCTCAAGAAACAGCTTCTGTTGTCTTCATTTTGTTTCTTATAGAGCAGAGATTTTTTATATTGAAAGAATGGTATTAGTTTTCTAACACTGTGACTAAATATCTGAGAAAATCAACTTAAAGGAGGAAAACTTTTTTATTTTAATTTTAAATAGCGGGAAGGCTGCCCTCAAAGGAAAAAGCTTCTCTTTACAGTGGTCAGCTTATTTAGGTACTGAAGCCACACAAAGCACAGAGTCAAGCAGCTTTATTGCACCTTCCAGCACTGTAAAGGGAAGCCTTCCCACCATCCTGGTTCCAGAGCCGCATCAGTCCCAAATAAACACACAGGAGGCTATATTCATTATGAAGCTGTTGGCCTTGCTTGTTTCTTACTGGCTATCTCTGACTTAAGTAATTACCCCATAATTGTTAATCTAAGTATATCTCTTACCGGAGAAGTTTCCAGGCTTCCTACCCCATGGCGTTACATCTTGACTCTACTGTGTTTTCCCTTCCCAGAGTCCTCCTGGACTCCTAGTCCCTCCTATCTTTGCTCCCTATTGGCTCAACAGCGCTTTATTGACAAATACACAGGACTTCCCCCATCACAGCACTGTGAAGCTAGCCAGTAGAGATGAAGCTCCCAAGCAAGTACCAGCTGGATCTACCCGTGTTCCCAGACTCCAGTATGGAGTGTCTTCAGCAATAAGGTCTTACTATCAATTTCTAGATTAAAAACAGGAGAATTGACCATAATTTGTAATGTTTGCTAACAACTAGTCAACAGCTGCAAAAAGGGCAATGCAGCGTTTTCACTGTTCAATTTTCTATCAGCCTGTAGTGTCTAGTAGGACAATGATCACCCATTTGTAAGATAACTCCATTTTAATTCTTTTTAAATATGTACACGTATACATTTGAGAAAGCATCTACAGTAGTAGGTCTCCTAATGACATTTTTAAAAGGTCTTCAATGTTAGTTATCCCTCCATATATTCTCTTCTCTACCCTTCCCTCTCATTTCCCACCATACATGCCCCCCGACTCCACTATCTTTGAATCATTTTAGATCAATGTGTTGCATGTCTCCTCCCTTTAAACATCACCATGGTCTTAGGACCCAGGGAAGAACAGAAGCTAGGATATCCATGGCTTTAAGTACATAGGAACAAAGAAAGGCTTGTCAGTCTATGTCCAGGGTAGCTTGTTTATTGGGGTAACAAGCTAGTTTATATATAGCTTGAAGACAAAGAAACAGGGGAAATTACCTAATTTGCCTACTCGGGTCATACTGGAGGCAAGTTGGCATTATCACATACCAAATCATCCCTGTGCAGGAGGACATGTGCAGAGGGAACAGACATCACAGCTGTCAGCAAAATAACATGCTGGCACCAGTTTTTGCTAGGAGTGGGGGGTTGGGGGAACCATTTGCTGGCTTTTTTAATGACACCTCTTATTCCTATGAAGTGGATCCTGGTTTTTCAACACAAGTGGGGTATGAACACCTGAATCCTACTAAAAACCTCTGAGAGATTTGTAGGTGCAGGCATATGCCATGGACTCATTTGACTCTGGAATTTCACACAGGATGGAATTACAGATGATTGCATGCTGCCATGTGGGTGCTGGGAACTGAAACCAGGTCCTCTGCAAGAACAGTAAGTGCTCTTAATTAATCTCTGTGCCCCTCCACACAGTTTTGCTTCCACTTTTACATCATGTAAATTATATATGCATATATAAATTATCTCATTTATCTATGTAAAATCTTGACCCTAATAAAGAAAATATAGGTTTTTTTCCCTTTGATGAGCTCATTCTACTGAATATGATTTCCTTCATTATTCATTTTCCAGAAAACAACATAATTTCATTCTTTATGACCAAATAAAACCATATTGTATATAGATGTCATATTTTTATTATCTATTCATTTTTTGTGAATAAGACATTTTTTCTTTATTTCATTCTCCTCAAGTTCATTGTTAGTATTTGGAAAGTTACTGATGATTTTAATGTTCATATACTGCCATAATACTCTGCTGAAACTGTTTGTCAATGCTAAAAGTTTTATGGTGGAAGCTTTAGAGTTTATGAAGTACAGGATCATATCATCTGTAGATATCGCAACATGAATTCCTTCCTTTCTTTCTGTTCACTGATTTAATTTATCTTGCCTTATTACTCTGATAAGATTCCAGGGACTACATTGATACACAGGTAGAAAAATGAACACACTTGTCTCAATCCTGATTTTAAAGCAAATACTTTTATTTTGTCCTCTTTTACCATACTGTTGACTACATATTTCTCAGATGTGGTCTTTTATATGTTCATGTATAGTAATGTGTGCTCTTCTCGTCAGCTGCCTGGGTCCTGCAGCAGTCTCAGCCCCTAAATAACACATGAAACAGTATATTAAATATGAAGCTATTAGACATTTGCTTGGTTTCTTATTGGCTAACTCTGACTTAATTATTAACCCATAACTGCTAATCTAAGTATTTCCACGTGGTCTTCTCTTACCAGAGAAAGGGTCCGGATCTGTTACTCCTCTGGTGTCCTATATCGTGATTGACTGTGCCTCTCTTTCCCAAAATCCTCCTCAAATCCTAGTCCCACCTATCTTGTTTCCCTATTGACCAACAGTGCTTTATTCAACAACTCAAAAGATAAGCACGTACACAAAAGGACTTCCCCCATTAATGTATGCTTCAAATTTTCCATCTATCTTCCCTATAAGGGTTAATATAGTATTTTGTCATTCACTAATTCTTATGGTTTCCTCTAAATTTAAAGGACAATTATTGATCTTTTCATTACTGATATTTAATTTTTTTCTTCTTCCTATTTCCTCTCTAAAATCCCACTTTCATTGTTCTCCGAAGACACAGATTCCAGTTTATTCATACATTTAGAATGTACTCAATGCCAGAAACAGTCCAGGAGACCTTCAGGCTTTCAGCACTGATTTGACTGCTAAGAAAGCATCCATCTTCCTAGATCAGAAATAAGTGTCTGTACTTTTCTAGTATGCAGATGACCATGGGGAACTATCCACCTTCTGTCACATAAGTCAGTCTAACAATTCATTTTTATAATATGCATATACATGCACTATTGGAATCTGAAGACCAGGATGCAACCACGTCTGAATGGCCTGCGCTGCTATACAATGACATGGCTATGTCTGGGCCCGAGTTGTAGCTGAGGGCCATGTCAGGATCTGTGGCCCTACTGCAACCATGGTCTATTTGGACCAATGTCCCTGGCCAAATCAGTGGCCAAGTAAGTGTTTCAGAGTTATACTACCACTGGAGGCAGTGGAGACATCCATAACCAACTGCTTCTGAGGACCATGTTGGAGTTGATGGTCCTACCATGGCTGGAGTCTGAACAGAAGTCCAGATCCTGCATTGTCATCCATGGTTACATAAAGGGCCAGAGTTTGGGCCGGTACCTGAGGCCTTGATTATGTCCAGTGGACACACAGCTGCCGGAACCATTCCACCTGAGTGGTCATTCCTCCTACCCAGAGCTAGGATTCATCTGGGTCCAGGCTACTTCCAAGGACCATGTCTGGGTCCATGGTCCACCTGTGACTGGTGTCTATGCTGATGCTGTGGCTAGTGTTAACAAAGGAGACCTTAGGAACCATGCAAGATTAAATCAGAGGGCTATGCTGAGTTGGCCCCACCCTTCACTGCCCTAGGAAAGCTGGCCTTGCCTGTCTCTGGCCCTACAGTGAGTGAACTGGCCCCTGCACTCAGGAGAGAGGGGCCCCTACCCCTCACCACAGGCAGGAATGAACCCACCCTGAGGGCATGCATATAGGGGAGCTGACTCCACCACCACACCTGAGGTGGGTGTCTCTAGTGGCTCAATCTGACATGCCTGGCTAACACCCACACCCATTGGCCTTGAATCAGACCAATGACACATTGCAATGAGCACTTGCCAGTCAAGCTGATGGGGCAAAGGGCATATGATATGACACACTGAAGCCTCCAATGTCACCAGGACAGATGAAGAGGTGACAGAGGACAGGAGAGAAGGATAAGCAGATATATTTATATTCCTGGTGTAGTTTTTGTTCTATTTTGGTTCATTGGGGTTATTATTTCGTTTGTTTGTTTGCTCGCTTACTTTGTTTTATTTTCTTTATGGGGGGGGTCACAGCAGGGATGATGAGGGATATGGTGGGAGCTTGGAGGTAAACAGAATTTGGGTGCATGGTGTGAAACCCCAAAAGATTCAATAAAGAAGTTTTAAAATGCTAATGTCCATTTATAAGTGAGTATATACCATGTTTGTCTTCCTGGGCCTGCGTTACCTCACTCTGGATGATTTTTTTTCTAGCTCCATCCTCTGGCCTGCAAGTTTAATGATGTCACTTTTTTATCCAAGTAATATTCCATTCTTCAGTTTAGGGACACCTAGGTTGTTTCCAGTTTCTTGATACTGTAAATAAAACTACTACAAACATAGTTGAGCAAGTGTACTTGAGGTAGAATGGAATGTCTTTGGTGCAAAATAGTGGAAATGCTATGTTTTGAGGTAGATTGACTCACAGTTTTCTGAGGAAATGTCATGTGAATTTCCATAGTGGCTGTACAAGTTTTCCCTCCCACCAGTAATGGAGGAGTGTTCGCCTTGCTCCACATCCTCTCAAGTACATACTTTCTCTTGTGTTTTTCACTGTAGCTATTCTGACAGTTCTAAGATGGAATCTCAAAGTAGTTTTGATCTGCATTTCCCTGATGGCTAAGAATGTTGAACATTCTTTAAGTGTTTCTCAGCCATGGGAGTTTTCTTTCTTCAGATTCAGTGCTTAGATCTGTACCCCAGTTTCAATTTGAATTTTTGATATCAAGTTTCTTGAGTTCTTTACATACTTTGGATACTAGCTCTCTGTCAGATACAGAGCTGGTGAAAATCTTTTCTCATTCTTTTGGCTGCTCTTTTGTCCTAGTGACAGTGTCCTTCACCTTACAGAAGATTTTCAGTTTCATTAGGTCCCATTTATTGATGGTTTATGTTAGTGCGTGTGCTATCAGTATTCTGTACTCAAACTTGTATCCTGTACCAGGGAGTTCGAGGATATTCTCCACTGCCTCTTCTATAATGTTCAGTGTATCTGGTTTTATTATGTTGAATTTTGATCCACTTGGACTTGAGGTCTGTGCAGAGTCATAGATATGGATCTCTTTGCAGTCTTCTACATGCAGACAACCAGTTAGAGCAGTATCATTGATAGAAAATGCTTTCTTTTTTCCATTGTGTATTTTTATATTCATTATCAAAAATCAGGTATCATTCAGCATACAAACATATGGCTGTGTCTTCAATCAATTCCATTAATCAATGTGGCTGTTTTTATGTCAATACCATGCAATTTTTCTTTCTATAACTCTGTAGTAGAGCTTGAAATCTTCAGTTTTTCTATTTTCCAGGATTGCTTTAGCTGCCCTGGGTTTGCTTGAGTATTGTGGTTTCAAGGTGTATAATGAATTGCATTAGAATTTCAATGGGAAGTAAATTGAATTTGTAGATTATTTTTGGTAAGATGACTGCTTTTACTATGTTAATCTTACCAATTCATGAGCATGGGAGATCTTTTCATCTGCTGATATCTTCCTCAATTTCTTTCTTCAAAGTCTTCAAGTTTTATAATACAGTTTTTTTTACAGTTACCTCAAGATAGTTTATATAATTTGTGGCTGTTGAAAAGGTCATGGGAAGAATAGAGGAGAGCAAGAAAAAAGATGCCTTAATAGAGGGAACCATTATAGGTTTAAAGAGAAATCTGGCACTAAGGAATTGTCCAGGGATCCACAAAAATGACCCCAAATAAGAATCTAAGCAACAGGGAGAAGCCACGTTAAATGCCCTTCCCCTATAATAAGATTGATGACTACCTCAAATGTCATCTTAGAGCCTTCACCCAGTAGCTGATGTAAGCAAAAGCAGAGATCCCCAGTCAAGCCCTTCTGTAATCCAGTTGTAGAGAGGGAGGAGAGGTGAGCAAAGGGATCAAAACCATGATGAGGAAACCCACAGAAACAGCTGACCTGAGCAAGTGAGAGCTCACGGACCCCAATCTGACAGCTAGTGAACTAGCACATGACTGAACTAGGCCCCATGAATGTAGGTGTCAGGAGGCCTGGCGGTCAGTCTATGGGGTCTCTGGGGCTGGAAACAGTATTTATCCCTAGTGCATGAATGGACTTTGGGAGCCCATTCCTCTGTGGAGGGATAGTGTCTCAGCCTAGATACATGGTGGGGGAGAGGGGCTAGGCCCTGTCTCAAATGATATACAGACTTTGATGATGCCCTCACTCTTCCTGGGGAGTGGATAGGAAGGGTGGAATGGAGGAATCAATCAATGGATGGCATGGGAGGATGGAAGGGAGAGAGAACTGGGATTGATACACAATTGTTTCTAATTTAAATAAAAAAGAAAAAGTCACAAAATTAAAGCAGAAAAGGGTTTTGTTTTCCAAATTTCTTTCTCAACCACCTTGTCTTTTGTGTACAGGAGAGCTACTGTTTTTGTTTGTTTGTTTTTTGTTTTTGTTTTTGTTTTTTGTTTTTTTTTTAGTTAGTCTTGTATCTATAGCCACTTTATTGAAGGAGTTTATCAGCTAAAGGAGTTCCCTGGTAGAATTTTTGGGTCTCTTTTGTATTCTATCATAATATCTGCAAATCCACTATACTCTGACTTCTTCCTTTCCAATTTGTGAGGCAAAAGTGATAACCACTATACTACTGATATCAGAATCTCCTTGATCTCTTCCAGTTGTCTTATTGCTCTTTCAGGTATGATAGTGAAAAAGATACGGAAAGAGATGACAGATTTTTTAATTCCTGATTTTGGTAGAATTGCTTTGAGTTTCTCTGCATTTAATTTGATGTTCCCTGTCTGCTCGCTGTAAATTGCCTTTATTATGCTTAGTTTTGTTCCTTGTATTCCTGATCTCTCCAAGAGTTTTATTATGAAGACTTACTGGATTTTGTCAAAGGCTTTTCAGCACCTAGTGAGACAATCATGAATTTTTTTTCTTTCGGTTTGCTCACATGGTTGATTACAGTGACTGATTTTCTCTTTTTTCTTTTCTTTATTTAAATTAGAAACAAGCTTATTTTACATGTCAATCCTTGTTCCCTCTCCCTCCCATCCTCCTCTTCCCCCTACCAACCTCCTATCCCATCCCATTTCTGCTCCCCAAGGAGGGTGAAGCCTTCCATGGGGGATCTTCAAAGTCTGTCATATCATTTGGAGCAGTGCCTAGAACCCCTCCCATGTGTCTAGGCTAAGAGAGTGTCCTTCTATGTGGAGTGGGCTCCCAAAGTCCATTCATGTACTAGGAATAAATACTGATTCACTACCAGAGGCCTCATAGATTAACCAGACATCCAAACTGACATCCATGTTCAGGGGCTCTGGAACAGTCCTATTCTGGTTTCCCAGCCATGAGCTCGCCCTTCTTCAGGCCAGCTGTTTCTGTGGGTTTCTCCAGCCTGGTTTTGACCCCTTTGCTCATCACTCCTCCCTCTCTGAAACTGGGTTCCAGAGTTCAGCTCTGTGTTTAGCTGTGAGTGTCTGCTTCTGCTTCCATCAGCTACTGGATGAAGGCTCTAGGATGACATATAAGGTAGTCATCAATCTCACTAGCAGAGAAAGGTATTTAAGGTAGCCTCTCGACTATTGCTTAGATTGTTATTTGGGGTCAACATTGTAGATCTCTGGACATATCCCTAGAGTCAGATTTCTCTTTAAACCTATAATGGCTCCCTCTATTATGATATCTCTTGTCTTGCTCTCCTCTATTTTTCCCTTGACTCGATCTTCTTACTCGCTCATGTCCTCCTCTTCCCTCTTCTCCCTTTCTCTTTCTCCTAACTTACTCTCCCCTCCCCCTATTCTCCCAATTAGCTCAGGAAATGTTGTCCCTTTCCCCTTCTCTTTGGGACCATGTATGTCTCTCTTAGGGTACTCCTTGCTTTCTAAATTCTCTGGCTGTGTGAACTGTAGGCTAGTAATCCTTTGCTCTAGTCTAAAATTGATGTTTGTCTTTTTGTGACTGGAACATGTCACTCAGGATGGTTTCCCCTAGTTCCATTTACTTGTCTACAAATTTCAAGATTCCATTGTTTATATTTTGTTGCTTTTTTCCCCCACTGAATAGTACTCCACTGTGTAAATGTACTACATTTCCTTCATCCATTCTTCAGCTGAAGGACATCTAGGTTGCTTCCAGGTTCTGGCTACTACAAATAATGCTGCTTTGAACATGGTTGAACCCATGTCCTTGTTGTATGAACGTGGGTCTTTTGGGGATATACCTAAGCATCGAAGACTGATTCTCATTTTCCTGAGGAACCAGGAATACTGATTTCCAAAGAGGCTGTACGAGTTTTCACTCCCACCAGAAGCAGAGGAGTGTTCCCCTTTCTCCACATCCTTTCCAGCATAAACTGATAGTGACTGATTTTCATATGGAGAACCATCCATGCATTCATGGGATGAAGATACTTGATATATATGATATGTGATTCAGTTTGTGGATATTTTATTGAGTATTTTTGCATTTATATTCATTAGGTAAATGGTTTTATAATTTTCTATCTCTATTGAATCTTTGTGTGATTTGTATGGGTTGTATATCAGGATGACTGTGGCCTCATAAAATGAATTTGGCAATGTTCCTTCTGTTTCTACTTGATGGAATAATTTGAGTAGTGTTTATGTTAGCTCTTCTTTCAAGGTCTAGAAGAATTCTGCACTAAAACCATCTGGCACTGGGCTTTTTTTTTGTAGTTGTTATTTGGGGAGATTTTAATGGCTGCTTCTATTTCCTTAGGGATTATAGATCTATTTAAATTGTTATTATAATCTTAATTTAACTTTGGTAAATGGTATAAAGAGAAATTTACCCATTTCTTTTAGATTTTCTGATTTTGTGGAGTACAGGTTTTCAAAGTGCACTTAAACATTCTTGGATTTGGGGGGGTGGTTCAAATGCGAATATCCATAGTCTCATTTATATGGGTGCTTAGTCCCCAGTTGGTGGAACTCCTTTTGAAGGATTAACAGGTGTGGCCATGTTGGAGGAGATATGTCACCAGAGGTGGGTTTTGAAGATTCAAAAGATTCAAGACATTCCCAATATCTGTCTATCTATCTATCTATCTATCTATCTATCTATCTATCTATCTATCTATTATCTATCTTCCTAATCTCTCCTTACATTTCCCTCCCCTCTCTCGATATCCGTCTTTCTCTGTGTCTCCATGTCTGTGTCTCTGTCTGTCTGACTGTCTGTCTGTCTGTCTGTCTGTCTGTCTCTCTCTCTCTCTCTCTCTCTCTCACACACACACACACACACACACACACACGCACAAACACATACACACAGAGAAAAACATACAACTCTCTCAATTTCTGTCTGTATTGTGAGCTCTCAGTTACTGCTTCATTACCATTCCTGCCTAACCCCTGCCATGCCCCAGACATCATGGTCACAGACATCTGACACCATAAGCCCCAAATGAAACCAATTCTTTTATAAGATGCCTTAGTCACAATGTATGATCACAATAGAAAGGACACTAAGACAGCATCCTAGGACAAAATTTGAAAGTTAGAAATGAGTGACAGACATGCACAAAGTAGAATTTATTTATGATGGCAGGTCAAATAAATACTACATAACTTAAGGTGTATTCAAGAAATTTTCATGGGAAACAGTCAACATAGGTCTCATAGAAACAAATATAGAAAATTTAATCAGCTTTTATTTAAGATAAGAACTAGGTTATCACCTAACTGTGTATTCAATCTTAACCATTAATTTAATGGTTCTGATGTTGAGTCAATGTAGGAAGAAATGCTTAAAACTAATTTATTACATTGAAGCTCATTTTTTAATTTTTTAAATTAAAATTAAAAACAATCTTACTTTACATACCAATCCCAGTTTCCTCTCCTTCCTGTCCTCCCATGTTGTCCACCAATAGCCACCCCATCCCACCCTGCATCCACTCCCCAGGGAGGGTGAGGTCTCCTTTGCGGGATCATCAAAGTTTGTCACATCATTTTGGGCAGGACCTATGCCCTCCTCCATGTATCTAGGCTGAGAGAATATCCCTCCATGGGGTAATGGGCTCCCAAAGTCCATTCATGCCCTAGGGATAAATACTGATTACACTGTCAGAGGCCCCATAGACTGCCCTGGCCTTCCAGCTAACACCCACATTCAGGGAGCCTGGTTTTGTCCTATGCTGGTTTCCCAGCTGTCAGACTGGGGTCTGTGAGCTCCCACTTGCTCAGGTCAGTTGTTTCTGTGAATTTCCCTAGCATGGTCTCAATCCCTTTGCCCATCACTCCTCCCTCTTTACAACTGGATTCCAAGAGTCAGGCTCAGTGCTGAGCTGTACATCTCTGCTTCTGCTTCTATCACCAACTGGATGTAGGCTCTAGGATGGCATATAAGATAGTTATCATTCTCATTATAGGAAGGGCATTTAAGGTGGCCTTTCAACTATGGCTTATATTCTTAGTTGGGGTTATCCTTGGGGAGCTCTGGACATTTCCCTAGTGCCATATTGCTCTTTAAACTTATGGGAGGGGGGAGAGTAGAGGAGAGGGAAGTAGTAGAAAGGGAATAGAGAAGGAGAACATGAGGGATCAGAAAGATCTAGTGGAGGGAAAAATAGAGACAGAGATAACGAAAAGATATACCTTAAGAGAGGGAGCCATTATATATTTAAAGAGAAATCTGGTACATTATAGCTATTAATGATAGCCAGACACATAAACTATATTCAGCAAATAGAAATGGATATAAGAAACATTTTAAACAACTGTAATTAAGATAATTAGATGAAGGCATGAAGAGATTTGCAGACTAGGCTCTTAAGAACCCTCACACATTAATGTGGACAAGAATTCTTACACTTGAGAAACTGACTGAATATGTACCTTTTCTTCACAGAGCCATGGAAACAGAAAAGTGCATCCATGATGAGCCTCAGTCCAGAAGCAGAAGACAGCAAAATCTCCAGGAGGTGCTGACAGAATTGGGGCTGTCTATTGACTACTGGCTGCCTAAGCTTCAGGAAGACCTGGGTGTGACCTGTGCCCAGGCCTTACAACACTTAGAAGAAAAAGACCTCCAGAAGCTGAAGTCCCAGACACAACACACATGGGAGAAAAAGGCCCTAGAGAAGCTGATTGACTTCTCACAGCCAAACAATGTTGCACACTTCCAAGAGACTCCAGGACAGATGATAAAGAACAGGCAAAGGCAGGCAGGACAGGCACTGCAGGAACTGAGGGCCTTGCAGTCACAAGGGAAGCACAGACAGGAAGAGGCAGTGAGGAGGAAAGAAGCAGAGCTGAGACAGGCAATGGAGATCCCTGAAGAGTGCTGGCCTGGACTTGAAGTGCCCCTAAAAGACGTCACTGAAACAATGGAGAGACATCTCAGTCACATAGAACAGACACTGGCAAACAGTGAAAACTTCTCAGATAGAGACCTGCTAAGATTCACATCTGGAGGGCTGGCTCTGCAGGGAATTTATAAGGCCTCCCACCAAAAGGACCTGGTAGCAAGGAGAGAAGAACTACTCAGGGTCCCTCAGGAATTCATCCTCTTTGGATCTGAGCAAGGAAAACAGATGGAAACAAAAGAGTTTGCATCTTCCAAAGAAGAATCCCAATTCACAGAAACTGTGGAAAAACTCGGTTTCAGATTAACACTGTCAGCAAAGGGTGGAGGCTGGGGATTTAGTTCAGAAGGTGGGATGGACAAAGTCAAGCATTCAGAATCCACAGATGCCCACCAGTCACATTCTAAACACTCTTATTTCTGCTCATCAATGTTCAGCTACAACCCACTAGCCTCCTTCCACTTCAGCAATGATCAGCTCCAGCTCTCCACCGCTGCTCTCAAGGAACTGAAAATCATTGAAGAGCAACTGGAACACACTGATGGACCAGACAGATTCCTCTCACTGAGGAATAGGACTGAAAACTTCTTCAACAGATTTGGCTCTCATGCTAATCAAGGCCCTCTACACCTTGGGGGAATCTATTGCTGGAAGGCCATTTCAGAGGGTTTCATAAGTGACCATCTGGATCAGGTGAAGCAGCAGACAGCAGAAGCTTTGAATGCCTACATAAGGGCAAGCTACAGTGGCTTTGGGATTAAAGTTGGGGGAGAGATAACAGCATCAGACTCACATTCAGTAAGATCCTACAAAAATTCAACTAACCAGCAGATTCAATTAAAAGTGAAATTATCTGTGGCTCAGATAGGTGGACCACCAGAAGCTAATGGAATTTCTCAGTGGACAACTGGACTTCTTGCCAGCAATAAAACGTGGTCTGTCATTGACCGAGAACTTCAGCTGGTGCCCATTTGGGACATCATCCTGTCTAACCACAGAAACAATTTTAAGGACCCCTTTCTGGTGGCTAGTTGCCTAGCAGACAACTACTCTGCTCTGACAGGCCTTGCTGCCCACATCCAGGCTGGAGAAGAGATGCTGAGTTCCATAAAGGAAGCAGGAAAATTCCTGGATGATGTGAAATCCTGGGAGGTCTCTGACCCAGAAGAACAGCTTAACAACATGATAGGATTCATGCAAGCATTGGCTCACAAAACAAAAGGGTATGACATTTGGATTAATACATGCCTCACAAACTGGGATCTACAAAATTTTCTCATGAGGACTGTCAACTTTTGCAAGACCTCATCCATCGAAAAAACACAGTTTATTAAATCTCAGTTCCGCAGCCTTCTAGAACCTCATGTCTACAAAGTGAAAAACTTTCCTCAGGTAAGGTCAGTCATTCAGTGGATCTACCACACAGAGTCAGAGGAACAGCAAGTCAAAATCACTGAATTGTCTGAGTTCCTTAGACATTTGAAAGAAATCCAAAAATCTCTCACAGAAGCAAACATCAAATCTGAGTTCCCAGAAACAGTGGAAGGGGCTCAAAGGAAGGCCACCTGTGATGTCACCACAGCTCTTGACTCCTTCTTGATCTACCTCAGAGAAGCAGAGCAGCCAGACATGCAGCTGCTACTACTCTCCATTGCAGCTGGTGCAGGCTATCAGCTGGAAAGCAGGATTTTCCAGCCTCTCCTGGGGTGCGCTGAGTTAACCTACCTTCTTGATGAAATACAAACTGTCCAACACAGATATCAGGAACTCAAAACTATCTGCATTGACAGGGCACAGGCATTCCTGGTGCTCAAAGCTCTGACGACAACTGTTGGGGTCTCAGCCATTTCTCCAGAAGAAAAAGCACAACGCTTGGCATTAACAAGGCAACACATGGAGCACTTATTGTCTACTAAAGTTGTGCATGCCCTCACAAAATTTGGAACAGATCATTATTGGGAAAATTTAGAGAGTAATTTGAGATTACTCATTGATGGGAAATATGAAGACATCATCTCTTCTTTGCAGATGGATGAGGTGAGAAAACAATTGCAAAGTCTCCTGAATAAAAAGAAAGAATCTTATGAACAAGAAGAAAAAGAGGTGATAGAAAAAGGACCTTTCCTAGACTTACTCCAGCGTCTAGGCCTACAACATTACTACCCAAAAAGCATGAGCAGAGCTGACTTCCATATGATTTACAAGACTTCTGTGTACAACACACAGCCAAGATGTGAAGAGGAACTTCCCTTTTATTTCCTACAAAAGCTACTGATGCTAGATTGTGGGTTCAGACATCTGATCTTCAAAAAAGCTGGAAATGCAGAAACTGGAGACTTTAAAGGTGCCTCTGACCAGGAAGATGATGTTATTGATCCATATGAAGAGTTGTTTGATGACAGAGAGGAAGTCACTAAATCTTTAGGCACTGAGTCCCAGTACCACATTCACCCAATGGACATCCAGATGGCCATTTTTCATTGTGCAGATGATCTTGCCAGGCAATATATTTTGTCCAAACTTTCCATTTGTCAATTTGCACTACCCCTTGTAGTGCCAAATCCCAATAATTCTCACATGGAATTTTCTCTCTGGTCTCTCAGGCAAGTTAGGAAAAGTTGGCAAGAGTCAAGTAAATCACCACAGGACAAAAGTTACAGTCACAAGAAAGAGCAGATGTGCTGTGTCTCTAGTCCCATTGTGTCCTTCATTAGAGTTGGAAATATCCTTTCTGCTTCTAAATCTCAGATCATGAACTCTCTCCTCAGCAGACATAAACATGATGTGTTTTTTCACAGACACAGCAGAGGAAGCAGCAAACACTGTCTCCTGATGGAGGGAGTGGTGGAGATATGCTGGTTCTGCCCAGGAAGCCAAGGTGAGGACATATTTGACAAGTGTGTGGCTTTCACAAACCTTCATGGAGATGCCAAAGAACATAGGCAACAACTCAGCTTCCTGCAGGATGTCTCTTCTCTCATCGTGATCCTCATGTCAGCTTCTGATAACAATAAAGAAAACCAAAAACTTGTCAGACACCTGTGGCAGTCATCAAAATCTCTGGTCTGTTTAATTGATGACAAAGAAAAAGTAATGACTAATAATTCTGGAAAAAAGGTAAGAATTGGCATTAGGAATAGAAACGAGGCAGAATTAACAGAAGAACTCATGACCACCATCAAAAATTTACTGGAGATCTCTGGCACTGCTCTCAGTATAGAAGACTGTTCACAGGTGGCTCGAAAACAAGGATTCAAGATTGATGAAGACCAAAGAAAATTGAAGGAAGCCAAAGAAAAAGCCCAGACAAATATGGAACTCCTGAAACAAACCAAGTTGTCTCAGGTAAAAGAAAATTTGGTACCTCTTCAGGGACAACTGTGGCACCTTTGGTGTAAGAAAGACAAAGAACTCTATCATCTGCAAGAAAAGGGGCATCGGAGCATTGAACAACACAAGAATGACATTGAGACAGAAAAACAAAAAATACGATGGCAGCAGTTTAAAAAGGCCTTCCCCCTCAATGATTTAATGCAATCTGTCTTAAAAATTCTCAAAGAAGACTCAGAAAATGATCTCAAACTTTACTTCTTATACTGGTTAAGTGTAGTTTTGGAAAACCTAACCAAGGAACATTTGGAGATTTTACATGAAAATCAGCAAATTTTATGGTCACAGGTACAGGTAGAAAAGAAAAAGGCAGAGAAAAGCAACTTGCTTACACTGTGGCAGAAACAGATAGAAGCCATCTCTACGGAGATTCTTAACTGCACTTTTGGAATTGAGCACCTTCTCCGAGAAGTTGGCCAGATCTATGAAGCTCTGGAAGAAACTTCCTCCTCTAGAGATAGCCTTTTTCTCTGCCTCCCCCAAATAGCTGCAGATCTGTTGGTAGCTGGTGTTCCCATTGAGCTCATGGATGGGGATGCTTCATATGTGCCTCTAAAGTGGGTGGCAGCTGTTTTTGACAAGGTCTCAGAGAAACTTGGAGATAAAAGACTGTTTGTTCTCTCTATCCTTGGTCTGCAGAGCTCAGGGAAGTCTACCCTACTGAATGCACTGTTTGGGTTAGAGTTCACAGTTAGTGCAGGCAGATGTACCAAGGGAGCCTACATGCAGATCTTGGAGGTGGATGAGAAATTTGCAGAAGAGGTTGGCTTTGATTTTATGCTTGTTGTAGACACAGAAGGACTCCGGGCTCCAGAACTCAACAATAAATCCCAGAATTGGGACAATGAGTTGGCTACATTTGTTATTGGCCTTGGGAACTTGACTCTGATCAATATTTTTGGGGAGAATCCATCAGAGATGCAGGACATCCTCCAGATAGTTGTTCAGGCCTTTCTGAGAATGAAACAAGTGAAAATCTCCCCCAGTTGCATCTTTGTCCATCAGAATGTAGGAGAAGTAACAGCAAAAGACCAAACTATGGAAGGACGAAGGAGACTGGAGCAGAGACTGGATGAAATGACCGCATTAGCAGCTGAACAGGAAGAGTGCTCAAACATAACCCACTTTAATGATGTAATTAAATTTGATGTCAATAGTCATGTCTACTACTTTGCCCACCTCTGGGATGGCAATCCACCAATGGCTCCTCCTAATCCTCGCTATAGTCATAATGTCCAGGAACTGAAGAGTGGGATTCTTAGGATTGCCCAGCAGGAATCCAGGGGAAGAATCATGAAGATCTCAGATGTCAAATTTAGAGTTCAAGATTTGTGGAAGGCCCTGGTCAGTGAGAATTTCATTTTCAGTTTTAGGAACACACAAGAGGTCATAGCCATGAGTAAACTGGAAACCATGTATAACCGCTGGACCTGGGAACTGAGGAATCATGTGCTGGAATTACAGAATCAGTTGAACAATCAGATTCAAAATGGAAAAATCCCGACACTCACAACCGATGTACTAGAAGGTCCACTTAACAACAAGTATGAAACTATCAAGCAAGAATTTGACAAGTATTTTGAAGAAGACCCGGAGAGTGATACATTGATACAATGGAAAGCAAATTTTGAACATAAGCTACTAATTCTTAAAGATGCACTTATTTCAGACACCAGAAGCAAAGGCAATGAACTCATCAGTCTTAAAAAAAGCCAAGAAACACTAGATAACCAAAAGTCACAATATGAAAACGAATTGTTAGAGAGGAGTCGAAAGTTGGCTTTACGTCTGAAAGGTAAAGAATTGAATGATGAAGAGTTGCGTGAGAAATTCAATCAAGTTTGGACAAATTGGATTTACAATGTGTCTTCTACTGCACCTCCTGTTACAGAGCCCAACATAGATGGGGATGCTGAAAGCATTTTTCTAGGTTATTTCAAAAAGGAAAGAAATATTGCAGAAAAACTAAAAAGAAAGGATGGAGAAATATTTGACATTGATTATGAGAAGCATGTCCAAATGAAAAAAAAATATCATATAATTCCAAGGACTTTAGAAACTTGCCATAAAGAGTCCATTAATAAAACTACTAAGAACATTTTTTTAATATTTAATGATACAATTACAAGCATTTGGAAGCAAAAGCGTGATTACAATCAGAACGATTTTCATAAAATCCTGAGGATATTAGAAACGTCTGTTTCCCCTGAGGAAGATTACACATTTACCAGAGACTACACCATTGACTTAGCCTTATTTTTATTCCAAAAAGCATCTAAGAGTTTCAAAGAAATGCATGAGGCATTCAAGAGATCAAATGACCCTGTGAACTATCTGGAGATCAAGAAAGATGATTTCTTCATGAGTTTTAAGATCTCCTGCCAAGGTGCTACCTCCATTACATCCTTTGTTGACTTCCTGTGGCTCAAGCTCACTCCTGCTATCTCTACCACCATATGGGACAAAATAGGTCTTAAAGTAGCTGGGGACATGAGAGCTACCTGCCCTGAATTCAATGGAAACAGGGCTAACTTGGAGAATCATATTCTCATTTCTCTGGCAGAAGAAGAAAACTTTGATAAGTATTGGCAATACATTCATCAGCCACATTCCTTTTTCAGGGATTACATTAGAGACCACATTAGAACATACTGTTCAGAAAAAGAAGGTGAAAAAGTAAAAACTTTTTTAAAAATAAGTTTAGGTGACATCAAGAATGCCATCCTCACTGCTATTCACAAGACCACAGAAGTCGCTTATGATAATAGCAGCACCGCTTCTCGCTGGTTGGATTTGTTCTGTGATCATCTAGGGAGCAACTTGATCTTTCCAAGAAGAGACCTGATAAGCATCGAGCACCAGGAGATTAAGGATACTGAGTTTCTCAAAGAAGCCATGAGTGCAGCTTTGGATCCTGCAATGAGGAAAGTAGAAGAGGACTGCTCAGGGAGGCCCATAGATGAAATAGTTCCTGACATTGAGAAAATTCTCTCTGAGCATCTCTGTGGCTGCTGGAAACAGTGTCCTTTTTGTAAAGCAATTTGTACAAACACTATTCCCTCACATGAAGGAGACCACAGTGTGCCTTTCCACCGCCCTCAGGCTGTCAGTGGAGTCCATTATCATAAAACAGACTACTTTGTCACTGACATCTGTACTACTTCTGTAGCAAGTGATCGTTCATTTATTTTAAATGATATCCGTACATTCCTATACAAGAAATATCGAGAAGCAGGAGGTGATTATGCCACATGGAGCATCACTCCAGACTTATCTACCCAGCCGTATTGGAAATGGTTTATCTGTCACTTCAGATCGAAGCTTGAAGAGAAATATGGAAGAAAATTTACAAATTTAGGTGCTATTCCAGATTCTTGGAACAGAATAAGAAAGCAAGAAATTCTTGATGACTTGAAAAAATAATGATTGCCAAAATCAACACTAGCACTGCCACAAAATTTCAAATTAACATAGGAAACGTCATATCAATTTAGGTAGCCCCTTCAAGATTATACTTTATAAATGAAATAAGTAAAATCAAATTAGTTAATATTTCAGTATTTGAAGATTTTCTTCTAGAAAGATTTTTTCTCTTGATCTTCTGCTTAAATATAATGTACTAAATATGTGAATATATAGTAAAAATTAGTATCCATTCACAAGCCTATTTCAAACTTCATTATTTCTTTTTTTCCTTTTTTTGAAATTGAAATTAGAAACAACCTTCTTTTATGTGTCAATACCAGTTCCCTGTCCCTCTCCTCCCCCCCTCCCCTGCCCCCCAACAACCCTCTATCCCATCCCTTTTCTGCTCCCCAGGGAGGGTGAGGCCTTCCATGGCTGGTCTTCAAAATCTATCATACCATTTGGAACAGGGCCTAGACCCTTCCCCATGTGTCTAGGTTGAGAGAGTATCTCTTTATGTGGAGTGGACACCCAAAGTTCATTCGCATACCAGACCCATAGATTAACCAGACCTCCAAAGTGACATCCAAATTCAGGGGGTCTGGAACAGTCCCATGCTGGATTCCCAGCTATTTGTTTAAATGTTTAGTGACTGAGGGAAAGTTGAGTCATTTCTGGCTATTGTTGATTCCTTTACAGCAAATGAATGGTAAGTTCAACCAACGTATACATCTGGGGAAATGCTACAATTTGCCTTAAATTAGTTTAAATGGATGTTTTCACCCACTCCAGTCGTGAAAAAACACTTCTGACTTTCATTGTATCAACATTCATTGTTTATTGATGATGCCAAAATAAAGAATTTTAGTAATGTCTCTTCTGGAAAAACAAATAAACCAGACTTGGTCAGTACATATTTTCAAGGAAATAAAGAAAAATAAATAAACAAACAAAAAATAAATAAATACTATTTTTCAGATTATGTTATTACTCTTTTGTCCATTATATCTTGGTGTTTTTCTGTTAATCATTGAAAACACATACAAACCACAAATATTAGTATTCAAACCTGGTGTTACATAGCTACAAACACTGCATCCTGTAACAGTGACAGGCCTTGCAAGTTATATTCTTTCAATGGTATCACAAATGTTGTAGGATTAACCAAACACCTTCTGATTGGATTTAAGACCATTTCCATGAGTGGATCCACTTCTGACATTGTTATAAAAAGGTCATTAATCTGATATTAGATTGGTTTTAGGCCTAGTGGAATACCTATTATTATTGTTTTGGTAAAGCAACATAGCAGTACAACGATTGCTACACCCATATATCAGTGATTTGCTTGATCTGCAGCAGAGAATCTCTTATAGTATATGGGAGCTAACACAGAGACCCACAAGTAGACAATGTATTGAGAGTGAAAGACCTTAGGAGCACTCAGTTCTAAATGGTGTATGTTCATCTGTTGGGGAAGTCCTGTTATTTGCCTGTTATTTGTCAATAAAGTACTGTTGAGCCTATAGGAATCTAGATAGGTGGGGCTAGGAGTCCAGGAGGATTCTGGGAAGGAGAAACACTGAGAGTCAACATGTAATGCCATTGGGGTAGGAGCCCAGAACTATTCTCCGGTAAGAGACATACTTAGATTAACAATTATGGGGTAATTACTTAAAGCAGAGCTAGCCAGTAAGAGACAAACAAGGCCAACAGCTTCATAATTCATATAGCCTCCTGTGTGTTTATTTGGGACTGACACGGCTCTAGAACCAGGCTGGAGGGAAAGCGGCTCTGGAACCAGGCTGGCAGGACGGCTTCTCTCAAGGAAAGCTTCTCTTAACATTCATCAAATGGTATGTGTTCTCATTGAGACTCAGAATTATGCTGAAGAGGAGGCTGAGACCAGAGTTGGTAAAAGCCAGAGTTGGTGTATAACTCCAAGGAAAAAAGTATCTGAGAAACATAACAGAACTGATGTAGTTATAAACTCACAGAGACTCTGGCAGTACACACAGGGTACAGGTCCAAGCCTGACAGGGTCCCAGCACTGAGAGGGAAAAGTGAACACAGTATCCCAAGCATAATGAAGAAGCTATCTGCAATTGATACTTGTTGACTAAAGAAAATCACTTTTCTCCAGTGGAGTCCCATTTGGTGCATTATCTACACTGCAAGCAGGGTTCATACCCAGGATCATTTGATGAATATAAACCAAACTGAATGATACTTAGGTAGAATTTTTACCTCATTTTGTTTTATCTAGGCATTTTTTGTTTTACTGGGTTTTTTGCTTGTTTATTTTAATTTTATTTGTTTTGGGTATTTGGAGAGGTGTTATATTATTTTTGTTGGTGGTGGTTTATTTTGTTTGATTGTGAGTGTATTTTTTCAAAGAAAGAGAAATAATGGAGTTTTGTGCATATGGAGTTGAAGAGGACCTGAGAAATAACTGAAGAAGGGAAAAAACAATTAAAATATAGTATTTGAAGTTTTTCAATAAAATGAGCATAAAAATTAAATCCTGGTGTTGCATATAGGTACAAGAAGGAATTATTCCTAGAATTATATTTGGTGATCATATAAAAAAGGACTATGATGTTTAGCAATGATTGCTAATTTGACAGGGTCTTGAAACACCCAAGAGACAAGGCCCCAGGTCACCAGATTTTATATTAGATCAGTCTATGCCTAGGAGAGATGACAAGGATTAGGTTCATGGAGGTAGGAAGACCTTAAACAAGGTGAGAAGTATTTAACTGCAGCCCCATTTCCTGAGCTGCAGTGCTAGACTGTATAAAAAGAGAAAGTTACCTGAGCACAGAGCGTTCACAGCTCTCCACTTGTTGACTGGAGTTGTAGAAAGACTATCTGGCTGGAACTCTCTTCTTCTCCTTCTCCTCTTTTTCTTTCTCTCTCTCCTCCTCCTTCTCCTCTCCTATCCTTCTTTCTTCCTTTCTTTTTATTGTGTTTTCAAGCTCTTATCTGGGCAACTGGATTTGGGAAGACTGTAATTCTAGGTGCAGACATCTGGTTTTACCTTTGTTGGATTTTTTTTCTTTATAGTGTGTGTGTGTGTGTGTGTGTGTGTGTGTGTGTGTGTGTGTGCTTGTTATTTCTTGACCACAGATTTCCCTCCCTCCTCTAATCCCAGTTCCCCTCTCTTCCCCTCCCCTTTCCCTATCCACTCCTACTCCATTTCTATGCAGCACAGGGAAAATCTCCAATGAATATCAATCAGCCATGGTATATCAAGTTGCAGTGAGATTAGGTGCCTCCTCTTCTACCCACTAGAAGATCAAACTACACAATGGCAATATATGTGCCAGGGGCCTATGTCAGTCCCATGGAGGCTCCCTGGTTGCAGGTTGTCTCTCTAAACCCCTATGAGCCCAGATTAGTTGATTCAGTGGGTTTTCTTGTGGTATCTTGAACCCACCTAGCTCCTACAATCATTACCCTCCTCTTCTGTAGGATTACCCTAGCTCCACCTAATGCTTGGCTGTGGATCTCTGCATCTGTTTCAACCAGTTGCTGGGTGAATCCTCTCTGATGATCATTGGGATAGGCACCTATCTATGAGTATATCAGAATATCATTAGAAAGGATTTCATTGACTTTATTTTGTTTTATGCCAGCCATGTTTGGTTCTATCAGAAAGTCTCTCTTGTGCCTACAAGTCAGAGTGTATTTCCTGTTTTCCCCTCAACTGGACTCAGAGTATCAGGGATTGTTAGTTAAATATTGTTCACTTAACAAAAACTAGGGATATATGGAAGGAATGAATATCCTTGTCTCTACCAAATTAGCCTGTGACTGTGTATCAATGAGGCATTTTCTTGAATAATGATTGATACAGTAGGAAACATCCCAATATTGCCAATGCCACTGGACCTTGTGAATCTAGGATGTATAAGAAAATAAGCTGAGTAGCCATGAGAACCAAACCAATAAGCAGCACTCCTACATGGTTCTGCTTCAGTTCCTGACTCTAGATTACTGCTTTAATTTGCTCAGTGATGGACAATGATCAGAAGTTATAAGCCAAATAACCTTGTTCTTCTCCAAGTTGGATTCATTCAGTGTTTTATCACTGTAACAGAGAACCAAACTAAGACATAGATTTTATGCAAAAGCCATGGAGAGGCGCTGCTTTAACATGTCACTTTGGGGTAGCAGTTTAAAAAATTGTTACACTGACCAATTGGTGCTTTAATCCATTTGTTTTATGTCTAAAATAATATAATCATACCAAGATTTCATCTAAGACTTCTATTTTTCTTTGGAACAGACTGTAATTTTATGTTTTATATTTAAATCCATACTCCATTTGAACTTTTGTTTCATTTTGTTTTTATACATATATGTTAGATTTTCTTGATAATTTCATATAATGTATTTTGATCATATTTATCTACTCCCACCAAATGTTTCCTGTTACGCATTCCTTCCCTATTGACTGACCCATGTGTCTTCTATAAATTTGTGCATCTGTGTTACCCCTGTAGTCACAGGTGTGTGGCTATCCATTGCACCGTGGTCTGCCTACCAAGGTCCATATCTTTAGAGAAAACAAGTTCTCACTCTCCCAGCATTTTAGCATTTAGTGACCAATGGAGGAGGGCTCAGTCCAGGGTGAATGGTACCATCACAGGGTTACTGACCCTGGGTTCTATAAGTAGGTGGGCTGAGCAAGCCGTAGGAAGCAAGACAGTGATCAACTCCCCTCTGTGGTCTCTGCACCAGCTCCTGTCTCCAAGAATCTGGCCTGTTTGAGTTCCTGTCCTTACTTCCATCAGTGATGAATAGCAATGCTGAAGTGTAAGTCCAATTAAACCCTTTCCTTGACAACTTGTTTTTTGGTTATGTTGTTTCATCACAGCACTAAGACAACCACCTTGAAGTAGGCATCTGCAACATTACAATCAATTTCTGGGACAACCCTGAAAAATATCAGAGAAGAAAAACCTTCACAGGGAGCAGAACTTCAGGTGGTACACATAGTCGTACATTTTGTTTGGAAGGCGGAATGGCCAGATTCACAATTATTCATTGATTCATGGGCATTAGCTAACAGGTTTGCAGGATGGTCATGGACTTGAAAGTAACATGACTGAGAAATAGGTGAGAAACATATCTGGGGAAGAAGTATGTGGATAAATCTATCCAAATGGGCAAAGGATATAAAGATATTTGTGTCCCATGCCAATGCTCATCAAAAGTGACTGCAGTTCAGGAGGAATTTAATAATGAATTAGAAAGGATGACCCAGTCTGTAGAGAGTCTGCCTCTTTTCCCCAGGCTTTCTTGCATTTCCATTGGGCCCATGACCAAGTGGCCATAACAGAGGAGATGGAATGTATGCATGGGCTCATCAACATGGATTGATGCTCACCAAGGCTGACCTGTCTACAACTGCTGCTGAGTGCTAGTTCTGACAATACCAGAGATAAACTTGGACCAATAGATATTGCACCATTCCTATGGGTGAATAGCCAAAAACCCGGCAGCAGATTGATTATATTGGATCACTTTCTCCATGGAAAGGACAACACTTTTCCTTACTGGAGTTGACACTTGTTCTGGTTATGGATTTGCCTTTCCTGCACATAATGATTCTGTCTAAATAACCATTTGAGAACTTACAAAGTGCTATATCCACCATCCTGGTATTCCACACAGTATTGCTTCTGACCAAGGAACTTGCCTCACAGCCAGAGAAGTGTGACAGTGGGCCCACAATCATGAAATCTGCTGGTCTTACCATACTCCCTACTATTCTGAAGCAGTTGGCCTGATAGAAAGATGGAATGGCCTCTTGAGGACACAGATACAATGTCAATTAGGTGGCATCAGTTTAGAGGACTGTTTCAGGGTTCTCCAAAAGACAGTGTATATTTGAATTAGTGTCCAGTATATGGTAAAATT